CACACGTCCAAACTTTGTAAAGGATACCTTCAAGAAAAAGAACAGGAAGAAGTATTAAAAAAACATGAAATGGGTAACTCAATCACCAGACTTAAAGGTTAGGACAGAAAGGTTAGATAACACTGTCCAAAATCCAGAAACTGGCTCTGGAAAGTTTTACAAAACGCTTGAAATGATATTCCCCAAATAATAATAAACAAATTAATTGATAGAATCCAGAAATTAATTGGAACATTAAAAAGAGTAAATGCTCATTCTTTGACGAAAAAACTGTTTAACATTGTTTTTCTATTATTGTTATCAATAAAGACATTATAATAATAACTTTTGCAATTCTTTGTATTGTACAACATCAACCTATGATTAGATGTTAGAGTGTACAAAATTATAACCTCATTTTCATTAATTCACGAATCGTTCACAAATATTGAAGTGGTTGGAAACTTTCCGTCGGCAGTGTATGTACATATTTTTACTTTCACCATAAAACTGTTTTATTAATAATAAGTAAATAAATACTTCAATAAAAATTGCATAATATAATATATATTTCCATAATTGTAACATTGAATGCAATTTTTCTTAAAAAAAAAAAAAAGAAAACCTCAGCAACGGGAGACGAACCTGGGACAAAAAATTTAAAGTGTACATACTACTCTTGCCGCAACACCACGCGACTATTGAATGTATGTTCCACTAGTGGAATATATCGGACTATGTCATTTTTCTAAACTACTTGGTTGCGAGTAAACATACACTCAGGTACTTATAAACTCGCGGAGAATAATTACACATGTCTATACGCTTCGACAGCAGAGCACGAACTGTGACTAAATATTAAACTTGCAATTTTTATTCAATTCTTAATAAATATTGTAATTTTGTTTTTAAAATCATACAAGAACCATATGATATACTACATTACATGAAATAATTTTCAACAGAAGATAATAAAATAATATTGCCGTTTTTCATAATCAACGGAATAACGTCAAAAGTGCTTCTATACATCGTTTTTGAATAAGCAACATGTGACATGTTTTATAGAAAAAAATCAGCCATACCGTAAGATGTATAATTTTAAGTCACTTAAAATCGTACATCTAGCGGTTCGGCCGTTTTTTTTTTAATAAAACGTGAAAATTGTACTAAATGATTAAAACCCATACACAGGCATATAGTTTAATGCTTCCTCATTTTACATATAGCAAAACTATAACAAAATGTTTAGTAATACTTAGTAAATTTGATAAAATTTGTCATTACATATGAAACTTAGCTGTCAGTGAAAATCGTACAGAAAGAATTAGATACATTTTTACAATAATATGTAACATAAATAATTTATATTAATATTTTGTAGGGTAACCAAATGCATTTTCAACACATTTTAGTCGTCGAGGAACTGATTTTACCAAATATACTATAAATTTTGTTATATTTTTGTTCTACATTAAATGAAGAAGCATTGAACTATATCCCTGCAATGAGTTTTAATCTCTTAATAGTACAATTTTCATGTTTTATTAAAAAAAAATCAGCCGAACCGCTAGGTGTACGATTTTAGTTGACAGCCAATGTACATGTCTGTAACAAGATAAAACTACATACAATCATTACAAATGATTGCGATTATGAAAACAAAACGTTAACAAAAAATGAAACAGGTACTAATTACAAAATTCATACAATTGTTGAATGTTTTCTGGTAAACGGATGAATTCTATAATATAATTAACGATTATTTTAAGGTTAATATGCCATGTCAACGTATGTTATAACATTAACCTATATAAATATGTAATTTACCTACCTGATAGTAAATCTTGGTTAAAATTTTATAATTTTATTTTTCTTATTGTTATATATAGTAATAGTTTAAACAGAAGTTATATACGTTTTCCGTAACAGTGAATCGTGACTTTTACTGTTAAAATGCCCACGCTCCGTGATTTTATGCGAACCAGCTATGAGGTTCACGCTCTGTGATTCTCATATGAATCCACCCTTTCTAGTTCATCGTACTTACCCATGTGCATATTCATAGCGAACTAAATGACATAATTCTATATATAGGGTGTCCCGTAACTCCTCGAACCCTGAAAGTCCCTAGGCGCGGGCTCTACGCGTGCTCTGATTGGCCAGTGTTTTTCGTTAATAATTCAAAAACGAAGATTCAACCAACATTTTAGTAAAGGAAAAAGTTGTTCAGAGTCACCCCAGAAACCCCTCATTTCCGAGTATTACACTCTTTACGGGACACTCTGTATAGAAGGATTTGGCCTCGGAAAGGAGAAGGCGGAGTGCCTTCTAGTAAGAGGCGTGTGAAAAACAGCGCGGCACTTACCTTAAAACCTCGAAACAGAGCAGAGTGATAAAAGTGGTAAATTAAAACAAATTCATATTTCTAACATGTACTTAGCTAGTTGACACGGCTGGATATCCTTGAGATATAAAACAGAACGAAGAGCGTACATTTCTGAGTCCCGAAACAAACATCCTGTTGAGAAAGCCTACGTGGCTTAAACTTAATTCTCGTGTGGTTACGGTTCTTGAATAAAATCTTTCGACTACAATAACAAAGCATTTCCGTTCCTGAGTTCTAACTTTCCATCGCAGATACAGTCTATCTTTTGGAACATACATTATTGACAATTCAAATTACGCTCCAACTGTGCGCGTCGATCTCTCTAGATTAAGACCACCCTAAAGCTATATTCACAAACATGCAAAGCTACGTTCACGCGATAGCCTAACAGTTAATTTTAATTTAGTCGATTCCATCAAATGTAGTGGTTTACGAAATTGAATTTCATGAGAATTGTGTTCGTAATGAAAAATAAGCGTTGCAGCTTCGATTACTGCGTTTTTATTTTATATGATGTGACATATTTTGTAACGTAAATTATTTTTATTCTTCTGGTAACATGTCGCCATGTTACAATTGACAATCTAGCGATGTACGTTATAAGTTCAAATTTGAATTTAATACAGCGTCTTTTCGTTGCGTTGTTGTGTGATTTGTAAATGTGATTTATTTGCTACAGAATAGTGTTAGTAGACGCATTTGTAAACAAAATAGCGGTGAAACTGCTTTCACGTGAGTCGAAATTTCTGTGCAAGTGCGTATCTACCACTTTTACAACATTAAATATAAGTTACGAAATTTGAGTGATATGTGGGCGAAAGACAGGTGTATGTAAGTACTTATACATAAATTACTTTTCACTCTGGTTTCTAGTAATAAGTTGCATCATTCGAATTATATTAATAATTTATGTAAAATATATAATGAACAATATTGTGAGTCAATAAGATACAATTTCACTGTTAAATATTGATATGCTTCTAACCTCTAATTACTGATTATTATATTTCAGACATTTGCCTGTGTGACTTTTGCGTTGTTTGAAAAACGTATTACGTATTGATTAACAGAATGACTACAAATAATGGTGTTAATAAGTGTCTTTCTGATGAAGAAATGGAGGTTGATGAAGAGAATGTATTATTGCATGCAGATGAAGAAGGTGGATTACGGGTGGACGATGATATATATATACCACCACCTCTTAAAACGATTAGCACAATTGATGTTAATGGTCCTAGATTAATGATCACTAAGATTGTTAATGAAAATTTCAAAAGTTATGGAGGTATACAAGTTATTGGTCCATTTCATAAGGTAAAAGTTAGATAATTAAAAATTTTTAAATGATATTGTTTATAAATTGATATTTTATGCATTTTTTGCTTTATAGTGTTTTTCAGCTATTGTTGGCCCAAATGGCAGTGGTAAAAGTAATGTTATAGATTCAATGTTATTTGTATTTGGGTACAGAGCTAGCAAGATTCGATCAAAGAAAATATCAGTTTTAATACACAATTCAAACCAATATCAGAATATTAATAACTGTACAGTATCTGTACATTTTCAACAAATAATTGATAAGGTATGTTTCATACAACAGAAGTTATTCTTAAATCACATTTTGTATAAAACTATATAGATAAATAGTTTTGTTTCAGTCTGGAATGGATTATGCTGTTGTCCCAAATAGCGAGTTTGTTATATCTCGAACAGCATTTAAAGATAATTCATCTTATTACCAATTGAACAAGAAGAAAGTACAGTTCAAGGAGATTGCAAAACTTCTAAGGTCATACAATGTAGATTTAGACCACAATCGTTTTTTAATTTTGCAAGTATGAAATGCATTATTTATTTGTTATTTTTTTAATAATTTTATATCATTTTACATTAAGTTATAATAATAGGGAGAAGTTGAACAAATAGCAATGATGAAACCAAAGGCACAAAATGAAAATGACACTGGCATGCTTGAGTTTCTGGAAGATATAATTGGAACAGTTCGTTACAAAGAACCACTAGAGAAACTATCAGAGAAGATAGATGTTTTATCAGAATATAGAGATGAGAAGTTAAATCGTCTCAGAATTGTTGAAAAAGAGAAAGCAGCTTTGGAAGAACCCATGCAAGATGCTATTCAGTACTTAAAGCTGGAAAATGCAATCAGAAAATTACAACATCAGCTTTATTCTTACCAGAGGTAATATATTTTTCAAATTGTACTATGTTTGAGTTTTATGAAAAATTGTTTCAACAGATTTAAAACAACAACAGAACTTGCACAACAAGAAAGTAAAATTAAGGAATTGGATAAAGATTTACTGGATCTTAAAAATAAAATGAAAGAAATCCATAGTGACAAAGAAGAAAAGAACAAAGTGATTATAGAGAAAAATAAAATATGGGATAATTTACAGAGGCAAAAAGATGAAATTGCAACAAAATTTGATAAAATACGAAAGCACGATGAATCGCTTCATGCAGAATTAATAGAAACGAATAAAAGACGAAAAGCTAACATTGCGTCTTTAAAAACAGTAAAGTTTATTTCATTAGTTTTATAAGAAGACGTAGTAGACTAATTTTTGTTTATCTTGACGAATTATTAATGAATACTCATTGTAGGAAAAATCCAAATTAGAAGAGCTGTACAGGATACCGGATAAAAATATGAAAGATATTCAGGAATGTCAGGACCTTATTGATACACATACAATGAAAAAAGAAAAAGCGGATATAGTATTGGAAAAATTAATGAATGAGCTAAGTAAAAACTCTGAGCCACTGTTGAATGAACGTTCTAAGCTTGAAAAGAAACTAATATGTCTTAGAAAGGATGTTGATGAAGCACAAGCTGCATTCAAAATTGCTCAATCTGAATTAGAACTGTATACTTCTGTAGAATCAATAGAGAAAGAAAAATTAGAAAAACTAAAACATTCTGTGAAATTAACAACAGATAATTTATTGACAAAAAAGGAACAACTACAGAATTTAGGAAACAAAATTCCTGACAGTGATCAAGAATTAGTACGAGCACAACAAGAACTGAACATGGTAAAAACAAAGGAAATTGAAATGACTTCAAAATTGAAAACAATGAGAATTTCGTTTGAGGAACAAAAGTTCGCTATGCAAGCGAGTAAATCGAGGAACAAGATTATAGACAACTTAATGCGGGAAAAAAGAGAAGGCAGACTTCCTGGTGTTTTTGGAAGATTGGTATGTAAATTAATATAAAATAAAACTGTACATAAAATAATGAAGTAAATATCTAGATGTCATATGTTTCTATGCTTTTTATTTAAATGATTGAATTGTGGTCATATATTTTATAAAAATGTTCAAATCTTAACTCTTTCGCTGCGGCAGATTTTAATACGTAACGTGTGTGGCAGATGGTAAATTTTGAACTACGACTACAAAATTTGTTTTGGCTGTGTCGTTTTAAAATTCAGTTTATTAAATTAAAGTAGGAGTGCATAAAGGATAAAATGAAGTATTAAATTAAAATGAAAGTGCACTAAAAGGCTCCAACACTATAGTATGAGAAAATTTTCCAAACACCTATAGGCGCCAATAAGGGTTAAAAATATGTATTTGTATCCATTTAAAATTGTGTAACCTGCAGTTTTTTAGAATTGTTATAAGTATTTGCTGCTTTCTTTTAGCATACAGATAAAAATTAGATTATCTTTCAAATAAGGAGTTAAATTGGATTAATTTATGATACAACGAAAT